CTAATGACGGTAAATTTTGTCGTAGTTGTGGTGGACTGCAATACAAAGGGTTAACATTTTGTCTTTGATACATTGACGATCGTTCATGCAGTGCGTTTCTAAGGGCTTGGTCACGCACCTTCCTGAGATGATGAGCTAATACATATGTTCGCACTTCATCTTTTGTTTAATGTATTATAACAAAGAAGATGTGTATTGTTGAACAGCGAGAAAACAACAAAGCAATATAATGGATCGTATTGTCGAAATTTTCTTTGCTTTAAATAAAGTACGTAAGATTTATTTGTTTCATAGTAAAGTAACATGGGTATTTAGGCTTCCGGATTTATGCTCTGAAATACGTCCATAATGTAAATAATTAGGAATTTGTGCGGCGTTTGAAACTTTTTCAAGACTTGACTTATCTCCAACTTTGTCTACAATTGTGAACTTCTGGCAAAATCATAAAAAAAAATTTCGGAACTGGTCTCAGTCTCATATCGTTCGATTTTTCGTTGGATTTCTAGTCATCTACATCAGGGTATGAATATTCTAATGAATGTGCACAGTGAAGAGATCTCGATCTCTGTTAATCCGCTTGTAATTGGCGTATGTCACTGATCTTTTAAGCCTGACACGCCGGCTTACTGCTTGTCAAGTGCATTTGCGACAGGCTCCTTCAGTTCCGATATGTCGTGTCGCTAGCCAGATGTAGCTTGTGAAGAGGTTATAGTGCTGGAATACTTTCATGCAGTCATTGAACATGCGATAGTGTGACTTGATAGTTAGATATTTGAACAATATTTCGATCTATCTAAAATTCGATAATCAAAACTGGAGATAAATGTTCTATTTAAGCCATCATCCATATTTTTATGAGTTTATTTGCTATTATTCTTTATATGTGAAAGACAGAGAACGTAGGAAGGCCAACCTGGTCTGGTTTGGGATTCCTGAAAGTAACGCATCTGATGCGAAGGACCGAGTGATGGATGACACGGCCTTTGTTGTCGACTGTTGCAGCAAGGTACTCAACACATCGATTGATGTTATATCTTGCAAGAGGCTACGCTCGAAGGATTAATGATACGAGTTTAGATCTATGAACAAGGCACGAAAAGGAAAAGAATCGGCGACAGGCCACATCAGGCCTACATTTCAGCGCCGACATCATTATGTTATGTTATGTTATGTTAAGAATACACCTTATTTGAAGCCACGTTGAACGTTGAAAGAGAGAAATAGCTGAAAAATTATTATATGAAATACATTTTTACTCACAGTGTAGATACCAGATTGAAATAATTCCTGTTCCAAGTCGAATGATCGCGAAATGGTGAACGCAATCTCGAATTTCCTAATTTGTGAGAATATCTGCTGCCTGCTACTACCCACTGTTATCTAGTCGTTAGTTTCACCATTCGCTCATCTAATTGCTTCGATAACCCACTGTTATCTTACTGTTGGTTTCACTATTATTTCATCTAATGCCTGCGACTACTCATTGTCGTCTAACAGTTAGTTTCACCATTAGTTCACCTAGTGTTGTCGACTACCTACTGTGCCTTGGTAGTTAGCTTCACCGTTCTGGCATAGTTTGCCTGCGACTTTCTATTTCGCTCTTAATTTTTCGCTTAGCTTATGTACTGCACGTCTTCAAAACGAAGCTTTAGCATAAGACCAAGTCATAATCAATAAGTTTCATCTCCAGAGATAAGTGAAAAAATACGTGTATAAGGCAGTGCATTGTAATAATATTCTTTCTGACGATGAAAAGCCTTCATGCACTTCAAGTCCATAGCTGGAAGAAGTCGGTCACGACTAGTCGTCTCCATGTATAGCTTACTGCAGACAATGAATGCAGCATGAGTCACTGTATTGTTGTAAAGGATGAAGTCTCGATCCCGTGTTTGTCCTGGAAGGTTTATTTATAGTGCCATACGAATTCAGTGCTTATCCATGTTTTTAGTTTGTAATAAAGACACCAAAGAAACTGTCTTATCACTGGCTACGGAAGAACCTATTCGATCACATGGCTGAACAATGCAGGGATGAAGATGGCTTTATTTATTTTGTTGGGTGCGTCCCTAGCATTGTAGCAATATTCTCTCTGAATATTGTGAATTGTATTCTCAAACTAGGTTCTTTGTTCCCGATATAATACGGCCCAGGGAGGGAATAAGATCGCAAATCGCTAACTCGGCGGCATCGAGCATCCATTTAACTTAATTGGCTGCGTCACCAACTGCCCACCAGAGCGTCGTAAAATCACCGTTAAAGAGAGGGCTGCTCTCCACTTAATTAGGAGCCAATGAATGTCTGAATATTTCTCTCTTTGTTGAGGGGATATTCTTGGGGAAATCATGATGTCAAAGATTTCTGTCAGTAGAGACTTGGTTTAGTTTTTTTATTTATACGAACAAATTGCCCGTTTTTTCGTCTGATATTAGCTTAAATTTAATCTTAATACTTGTTTCAACGCAGATAGCTTCCTAAATTTGGTTGAATATTGGGCTTAGGAACCAATTATAATGAGATATGTAAAATTTATCACGTGAATCGACGGCATAAAATAATTGTCGATGAAAACTTAATAACGAATTATTTATTCTCTTAATTTTCAGGGAATCCATCCTGACTGTTTTTGTCCTCGTAGAAGCTGACGTGGAAGGATCAATATTTGAGCAAAAATGCGAGGTTGAGGCGCTAGTTAACTCTGAGATATGGAGGAGGAGGAGAGGACGCCTCGTACGCCCCATTAGCGCTCGCTGTCCTCGCTGACTTCCCTCTGCAGGACCCTTCTCTCGGTGCAGGGGCGGCGTCCAGTCACCGCCAGATCGATTTTTTCAATGCACTCTATAGAAATGTGCGCTGCACTCTGTGGAAATGCGCGCTACACTCTACGGAAATGTGCGCTGCACTCTGTGGAAATGTGCACTGCACTCTGTGGAAATGTTCGCTGCACTCTGTAAAAATGAGCGCTGCACTCTATAGAAATGTGCGCTGCACTCTATGGAAATGTGCGCTGCACTCTGTGGAAATGAGCGCTGCACTCTATAGAAATGTGCGCTGCACTCTATAGAAATGTGCGCTGCACTCTATAGAAATGAGCGCTGCACTCTATGGAAATGTGCGCTGCACTCTATGGAAATGTGCGCTGCACTCTGTGGAAATGTGCGCTGCACTCTATGGAAATGTGCGCTGCACTCTATGGAAATGTGCGCTGCATTCTATGGAAATGTGCGCTGTGGGGGCGGCACTGTGCACTGTAGTGCCTGACAATGTGCACTGTAGTGGTTGACAATAGGCATTATAGTGGGGGCAAGGTGCACTGTAGGGGTCAGCAATGTGCTCTGCACTCCATGGCTGGCAAAATGCGCTGCACTGGATGACAATGTGCATTGCACTGGCTGTCAAAGTGCACTTCACTGGACGATAATGACGATGCGCAGCAGTTCTGTCCTGATCGAGCTGTACATGTTAAATAAGCTGACAGTTGCGTGCAGTTCTTCACGTTGGTTGACACATCAAGACAAAGATCACAAAGAAAAGAACGTGTAATCATCAGGACAATAGGAGACGCCTGATTTGAACTCGTCCAGTTATTCCTGACAGCAAATCAAGGCGTCAAGTCCTGTCTTGTAAAGGACGACCCAACAATGGCCTGGTCAGTCCCGAGGGCCGCTGTCCTGATGATCCTAGAAGAAGCTCAAAGGACGAGCGGGAGAGCAATCAGCTTCCATCACGCTTCCCTGAACGGCCAAGTGTCTGCTATAAATCTGGCATAAAATGATATTTCCGCTAACAAAACCAACTTTATTACTGAATAGCGACATCTGTTAATGTTGCTATGGACAATGGAAGCAAAGATAATTAATAAATAATGCCAAACTATTACAACTGGTGATCCAATTAGTTTTTTCAATAGGAATTTTTAGCAAAGTTACCAACAGAAAATGGGTCAGAAAATGCAAAGTTTCGAAGTTGCGACAACAAAACCATATTTTTCTGCACATCACACCATATAAAGCGTTGTTTAGACGAGCCATCACCCCAGACTCCGGCTAAACCTGCCACATTTCAGCAAGCTCTGTTACCCTCATCTGCCTTAAAGTTTTAACGGATAATTTTTAGGGAGGGCGTTTACGAGGGCCGTCCTCGCTAAGTGGCCTGGTTATTTCTACTGAGAATTTAGAAAGAAACCTGCATGAGTGGGGAGTGAGATAAGAGATTTTGATTCGCTATGAAAGATATGTGCAAATTCGATCAAAGTTATCGATCTACAGTATATACAGTACGTATGAAATTTTTTAGAAAATTGAGCTGCCTGCAGATAAAGCTTCCGTATAGATTTGTATGGGGAGATCCATCGAGTTTTGTTTCGTACTTCAAGAGTCGTTTTCAATTTTACAAATGACGTTTATATAAATATTTATGAACGATGTCACGTTTGTCTCCAGCTTTTCCAGGGCAGGCTCTGTCTGCATATTGAAACAACGACCAATAATCTGATTTAATTAAAAGTAAACAAATCTGAACAGTAATAAGAAGAAAATTAAAAGATGACGCTACAGAGAAAGGTAAAACATTTTCGTTGAAGTTAGCGACTTGTTAATATGAAACACTAAGACTCAAAAATTAATAGGAAATGGTATTTTTGGGCATATTCTCATTTATGGAAAGAAGGCGCTATTGTGCTCGTCATGTCCGTCCGTCCGTCTGTCTGTCCGTGACTTCATGGACGGACGAGAAAATGCGCTCTCTGTCACTCATTGCAGTGAGTTTACTGATCTGATTTTTTATACATAAGGAATACTGAACTTTGATGAGGATAGAAATGGTTTCCGATAACGTAACAAGTTTACCTTGCATTTATTAATTATCTAATCGGCTAGATAATGGCAGAACAATGGAGCCTCTAATATTGAGAAAATTGTGGTATGAAGCAATGAGCAATTTATCTCGACAATTTTGGAAATGAATATGATTAATGCGTTAAGCTGAACATTGAGCTGACTCACCACTCAGCCACTGCAAGTCCAGGTTCTCCCAATCCATCTCCAGTAGAGCCGTTTTTTGCCGATTTGTCCGCCGTTCGGTCGCAGTCCCTCAGGCTTCCGTTGTTGGATTTTTTGGGTGCGGGTGAAGAGGTTTGCCTGTGCCTCACAAAACCCGGTTTTGCTTTTTAAATTTTCTTCTCAAAATGAAAATTCTTCCATTAAATTTACTCCAAGCACAAGTTTATAAGCAGTCTTTGTTGTGGAAAATACTTTGTCTTCAGACGTATTGTAAAAAAATAAGATGTTTTCAAAGTAGAATTCAGTAGATTTTTTTATTAAATCAAAAAGTTTGATTTATAAAAGAAATTCTTGCGTATGCAGGCGCCCAAAGAAAGAGAGCTTCCGGTCTATTCTACAATAACTTGACTAAAAATTTTCAAAAACTGTTCAATAAATTAACATCATCCACTAAGAGAAGCTTTCCATGTAAACATCTTCATTCAATTTTTCCAAAAATTCCAGTTTATGAAATGAACCTCGCACAGAAGTGTTTTTGTTTGAACAACCCCTATGACCTTACAAAATATCACCGCGAGTACAACGACCTCCAGTCACCAGGTCCCGGAACAAACTAGCGCACGATGCTACCTCGCTGACGGCCTGACACCGACTGACCTGCCCTCAGCAACGAGGACCGCCGTGCATGACTCAACCCTCCCCGTCTCATCTGAGGTTGTCATGGCAACGCAAGTGAGAGTCATTATTTTCTTCAAGGTAATTATCATTGCAATAATGATATTTACTGCTTTGAACGATATCATAAAAGCGGTGCTCATGTAATTGGATCATAAATAAATATTATTGCTTATGAAAACACTTTGTACTCAACGGAAAGTTCATCTCAGTGAGGTATTGAAATTAAAACTGATATTCAATGCAGCGGATGATGTCTCGTACGCACTGAAGACATGAATTTTCTGCACTAGTTATATAGTTGATATTTATACTGTAACAATAAGGTACTTTCTCGTGAACCTTGTGTAGTTTCATCGAATATTATAGCCCTTATTTTATACTCAAGATTGCCTGCTAAACGGACCAATTTATCACGAACAAGCTTATCATGCAAGTCGTGTATCAATTTATAGTGCCTCTGAATACTTATTTAATGTATTAACACGTACCCATCGTATACGTATTGCTAGTCGTTATTCTAGCATGATCATCACTCGTACGTCTGTTGATGAAGAACGCTTGCCAGTTTCTTATCAACTCGCGTGGGCCATCCGAACTTTTGCACGCAGGAAATTATACGGGGCAGATCCACAATGGATGTTCTTTTCATTTCCTACGGAGTAAGTCAATTGTAACTACGTCTGTAATCCATGGAAATGTGGCTTGCATCCTTCCACCTAACCGAGTATTGTTAAATCGTCTGGGGAACGTACGTAGCATAATGCTAGTGCTTTTATTCCTGAACTTAATGCTCATATTCATAGTATTTTCGTAAGACTTGGTAATAGGCGTGTGAATCGTTTGGATAAAATGTAAATCTATTATATGGGGATGGCTTACTTGAAATTATATTAATATTTTCGATTTAAATGGCGACGTAACGTTTGAGCATCGCAAACGCTAAAAACATTATGTGAGTCAGAATGATACACTTGACTGTAGCACAACTAGCGCCTATGACTGCGCAACACCGACATATTCAAGTTTCATGATTCAATTCAGTAACTATGTTAATTATTCATCCCTATGAACAACTTCCTAAAATAAAAGCGCCTCGACAAAATGCATTATCCGACCTGTGAGCGCTTAACTCGCCCAAGGAAATACCACTGACACACTCATTCTTGTGAGTGAGTCAAGCCTCTCATCTGCGGTTTCCACGCGAAAAAGTCGATAATTTTTGCTGGTACGACGCTGTCTTTGTGAGCGGGTGTGCAATGGCGGCCAGGAACACACAACTGCCCACCACACGCGCTATTATCGAGGCCGCCATCACCGGACCACACGCGATATTATCGAGGCCGCCATCACCGGACCAATACGACCTCCCTGGGGGAGCTTGGCTATTGTGGAGCACCGACTTCTCTGTGGGATTTGTGGCCTCTGCACTCAGAGGAATGTGTGATATATTGTCCACATAGCGATAAGAGTGATATATTACTAATTAGTCAGCTGGTGCAGCTGACACTTGACGGCAGATCAGTTAGCTGGTGCAGCTGATAAGGTCCCAACAAAAGACGCCGCCACAAAAGAACATTTGAATAATCCTGGCTTCAATTATGGCGGCGAGGGAGGCATTTGCCTGCTATTTTTTCCGTGGATTCCTCAATGCGATGGGAATGTTACTCGGAAGAGAAAGAAGATGAAGAAGGAATTGGGAAATTAGTTCAAATTTTGAAAAAATTCAAGAGAGCAACTGAATGAAATTGTTGATAATTTCCTTGTGAAGTTGCTAGAGAAAGAACAAGATTATCGCGAATCGTAATAATGATTAGCAATTTACATGCAAGTGTAAAATGGACCACGATTAACAGCAAGTTTGAATGTTTCATTTTAACACTAAAATTTTTCCGGCCGTCATGCTTCTTATTCTAGTGCATAGGAATATATCTATTCCCTGATCATAATTGAAAATAAGCAGATCTAAATTTAAAAATTCGCTAAACAACTGGAAAGATATATTAAATTTCTAAAGAACCTGCAAAAAAGTTAAAAAAGTTACAAATTCAATAAAAAAAAAACATAGCCAAATCTACATAGCCAGCCAAATGCAAATTTCTCAGGGCAAAGTCGCCGCAATAAGGCTGGCGACATTCGTCACAGTCCCCGCTTGAGACCACCTGTAGTCGCCATCATTAAGATGTCCACGGGCGCCTCGCGTCGAAATTGAACGGCCGCACACCGCAATAAATCTTATGGCTGACAAATGGTTCGTTTTATGGCAACACCGGTTCTCAAAATCGGGGAAAATTATCAACATGGGGTAATTTATTTATTTTTCGGGGCAATGGGAGGTGTGAGACTGTGAGAATACTTTTAGTGTCTAATTCAGTCATGCATAGCGCTGTGTATAACGTATTTGAAGGGTAACATGCTTATTCTGGTACGTTGGATAAGAGTTAGATTAGTCTAAATAAATGACTGGATGTGATGAATACCATTTTAAATGAATGGAAAGAATACCGTTTATTGTTCATGTTTTATAAGTTTCCGGCAACATTATGACTAATTGAAGGGTAAAATGTGTATTGATGCATGGGGAAGGGGTTAACTGCTTGATAATTTTCAGAAGCCTCTGGCTCGCACATCTCTTCCCGAGACACAAGCGTTACTCCGACTGCCCCTGATTCAGAATTCTGATCACTGTAGAAAGCGTCGACAAATGCGTTGCTGAATTTGTATTTGTGAATAATGGTGAAAGAGCCAGGCAGGAATTCTATGAAATAAAATTGAAAAGAGTTGTTTTTACCACGTTGAATGCCGGTGTTAAGGCGTTATTGCGCACTTGTTTTACTACAATAAAATGTTGAAACGGTTGCTGATTTTGTTTAGTTTCATCAATATGGTTGTTCGGAAGACGTAGTACATAGCAGACTATGTGTGGCTGCTTATCTTGATTTTTTTTTCAATGCAGTCGGAGCTGGCAATATTTGTAAATAATATTAATTTATTTCAAAAATAAAATTGGCAATTATTAAACTTTGATGAGCCAATTATTCATAATGTTTAATTTTGCGAAAATCGAGCCGCGCGCTGCAAAGCGTCGACAGAAGATCAGTTTTAGTATCACCAGCAGCGGAGAACGGCACATAATCTTATATTTTCTCGTCTAGTTATCCCAAAGTTAATTCACTGAATAAAGTAAAGTTTTTAGCGTATTTTCTCATTTAGGGTAAAAAAGGCGCTATTATGCTCGTCATGTCCGTCCGTCCGTGACTTCACATTTTCGTCGACGTGAAAATGCGCTCTCTGTCACTCACTGCTGTGAGTACTGAGTTATATTATATTATATTTTTATGTTATTATATTTTTATTATTTTATTATATTTTCCAGTTTAAATTCATTTTGCCTCGCTATGGCTTTCACTAGAAAATTTCTCTCAAAAATAATTGTTTTTTAAGTTTCCCCGCCATTTGCCAAGGAACGGCTTACAAGGAAACGAGGATTTTAACTAAAACGATGGTCTTCTTTTATCCTGACTTCCCGTGAGGGAGGAGATAAGGGTAACGACCCCTCACTGAATGGCCCTCACTCTGCACAACATTCCTCCACTATCTTTTTTACGTGATTTTCTTTCTCAACATTTATACGCTTACTTTTTGCACACGTTTACATTCTTTACCGCAATTGGATATGTTTCCAGAAACATTCTACAACTTTGCCTGTATGTTTTTTGTTTACTCTGCAAACGATTCCATATATTAATTTATAGTTCGATAATTCATTTTCAAGTATTTCTATTCTCGTCAGGATTTTTAAATAGTCGCCCTTTCTTTAATTATATTTATATTTTTCTTTCTGTTACGGTGCTTCTCAAACAATATTGATCGATGTTCCATCGCGTGAGCACTCCACGGTCTTCTTCTTTTTCCCTTCTTTAATATTTCGATCCACAAAATTAGCATTCCTTTCTTCTCTTGCAATGAAATACTGCTTTCCCTCCTCACTTTAATTTGTATTCTTCTATAAATTATCTTATTTCCCATGAACCTGCGATAACAATTATTAGACAACCTTTTTGTCGGATGTAGCCCCAAACCTTAGACCCAAACCTAGCCTAACCTAACCTATAAATCGTCATCAATGCAATTCTTATCAAAATGCATAGTACCGAAAGTAAAGGTGCCTGTGAATGAGCCAAGTTTAACCGCTATTAGTTCTGGCAAGTATTAGCAGCCAGTAATTTTGGGACTACTTGCATCTGGTAGAGGAGTACTCGCTGCTTTCAGGGGACAATATAGCGGGTAGCGAGCAGTGATTAATACAATAAACAAGTTTGTTATGGGGGCACCATTGAACGGCTTGTAGTAGCTGGTTACGTGACGTGACCAGCATTATTACCGCGTGAGTGGATGAACATGAAGACAGAAATGGTTCTTGGTGTAGACTGTAGAGTAATTTTTAAACGTTTCCAGAAAGTTTATTGTGTAAGTTCTAATAATATTTGCCATTGGATTAAATATTCAACGCAAAGTTGAATGGTATTTCCCGGAACAAGTTTCTAACTTTTACTTATTTCAACTTACATTGCAATCAATTTGAAACAAAAAAAGACTCGTTTTTGAAAAGTGTTATAATACACTAATGAGTGGCAAATTAATAAGCTTCTGGAATTATTCATTAAATTGTAGTGGTTGTTTTATGAAATAAAAAAGCCGAAGATCGACATTGCCAAATAAATAGTCTTTTTTGCTGTCTTTAAAGACACACGGCATCGACTATAGATGGGAAAATTCTGACGTACTTCTTGCCTTGTGTGTAAGCTTCTTTGCCGGTAAAACTAGTGGACGAGATTTGTTGCCAGTAAAAATAACTGCTCCCAGAGGTGCGTTGTGAACAACCCAGGCTACTTTAAGTAGATCTGATGGAAAGGACTTAAGAAGGCTATAGATTGTCTCCTATACAATAAAAAGTTTTCACA